GAGCCCGATGCGGGACTCGATCCAGGGACTCCAGGATCATGACCTGAGCCGAAGGCAGTCGCTTAACCAACTGAGCCACCCAGGCGCCCCACAGGAATGCATTTTTAACCAAGAAAATCTTTTGAAGATCTAACTCCATGAACTCAACTTAATTCCTCAATTGTTGTTGTTTTTTTTTTTCATTCAAGGTGGTTGAACCACTCCTGATTTCTTTCCACTTTCACTTTTATTTTACTATAATTATTGTCATCTGAATTGACCACTTTTCATGTTTATGGCAGGTTTAGCTTATTGATCTTCTACATTGTTGTTGTAGTCATCAGATTTTATCAATCATAGTTTCCCCATTGTTGGTATTCCTTTAAGTTCATTCTAAAAAACTAAGTCCAGTTTTTCCTAGTTCAGATTTTGTAGATCTAAATTTTGTCCAAAATCTTTTTAATTTTCCAGCAATTTTTGGTCATTGACAAATTTTACTAAGTACAATACTGGACATTGACAGTGTTAGTTTGGATGACTTAGTTCTACCAAATCTGATTTTTTTCTGGGGTAAGTTTTTGATGTTCCTGTTGTCAACAAGACGTGATTCTTTAGTCAGGTTGTTATTTTTAATCTATAAAAAATTTTATCCTGTGAAAATTTAACCAATATGAGTCTCATTTGGCATGTACTAGTTCTACTAGTAATATGTATAAATTCAACAAAAGCTAATGGCTTGTATTTATCTTGAGGAATAAGGATATAAGATTTGGGTGTGCAGTAGGGTCAAATGTCTTCAGAACCTAAATAGGAGGATTAACAGAACCAGATCAAAATGGCCTCCTTGGCCTTACCCCCTCTGCCTGATTCATCATTTCAAAATATACCTTTGATTCTCTCACTCCTTGTTTTTTGTTTTTTTTTTTAAGAATTTATTTATATTTTGACAGAGACACAGCGAGAGAGGGAACACAAGCAGGGGGAGTGGGAGAGGGAGAAGCAGGCTTCCTGTGGAGCAGGAAGCCTGATATGGGGCTCTATCCCAGGACCCTGGGATCATGACCTGAGCTGAAAGCAGATGCTTAACGACTGAGCCACCCAGGCGCCCCTCATTCCTTGGTTTTTGATCTTCCATGGTTCTCCATAACCTTTGGAAGAAAGACCACACTGCTTTGCTTATGATAACATTTTTTTTTTAAGATTTTATTTATTTATTTATTTTTTAGAGAGCGAGCGAGAGAGAAGCAGCATGAGAGGGGAGAGGGTCAGAGGGAGAAGCAGGCTCCCCGCTGAGCTGGGAGCCCGATGTGGGACTCGATCCCGGGACCCTGGGATCATGACCTGAGCCGAAGGCAGACGCTTAACCATCTGAGCCACCCAGGCGCCCTGATAACAATTAAGAAGTAGGATGCACTGGTCTAATGTAAAGTGCTTCCAAAGACCCGCCTAACTGACTTCCTCCCATCTCCCCACCTTCCTTATCTACTCTCCCTACCTCTAGTACAGTGGTTCTTGACCTGGACTGAACCTTAGAATCACCTGATTACCTGGAGAACTTTAAAAATAATACAAATGCCACGGGGCACCTGGGTGGCTCAGTCGTAAAGCGTCTGCCTTCGGCTCAGGTCATGATCCCAGGGTCCTGGAATTGAGCCCCGCATCGGGTTCCCTGCTCAGCGGGAAGCCTGCTTCTCTCTTTCCCACTTACCCTGCTTGTGTTCTCTCTCTGGCTGTCTCTCTCTGTCAAATCAATAAATAAAATCTTTAAAAAATAAATAAATAAAATAAATAAAAATAATACAAATACCTGGACCCAACTTTCAGAGCTTCTGATGTCATTGTCTGGGGCAGGGACTGGGAATTGGTATGTACCTAAAATTGAGACCATTGCTCCAGGTTAATTCATTTTTATAGTATTCCCTTTATATATTCAGCACTCCTGTTTATGGTCTTACACCTTTATTTATGCTGTTCTTCATCCTTGGAATGCTCTCCTCCTAACTCTTTATGTATGAATTTTTTTTTTAAGATTTTATTTATTTATTTGAAAGAGAGAGAGACAGTGAGAGAGGGAACATAAGCAGGGGGAGTGGGAGAGGGAGAAGCAGGCCTCCTGTTGAGCAGGGAGCCTGATGCGGGGCTCGATCCCAGGACCCTGGGATCATGACCTGAGCCGAAGGCAGACGCTCAATGACTGAGCCACCCAGGCGCCCCTTTATGTATGAATTTATCCTTCCAATCCTACCTGCAATGTTTCTTTTCCATGTAGATTTCCCTCCAAACTGCCAGCCAGAATTCTTTTCTCTTTCCTCTGAACTCCTTGGGCCTGTCTTCAGGTACTCACCAGTTACTACTTGTATTATAATTGCTTAACTGTGTCTAAGAAGCTCTACCAGACTGGATTGAGAGTTCCTTGAGGGTAGACACCTCGTGTTTTTATCTTTGTGTTCTCACCCCCTAGACCTTGCCTAACACATGGTTGGCATTCAGTCAGCATTTGTGGAATGAATGAATGGATGCATGGATGGATGGATGATGAATGGATGACAGTCCTTACTATGCTCCTGGGTGAATCTTGATCCGTTATTTTTGGGATTTCAGGGTGCTCAGCAGAACATCTTCAATCCGGCCCTCATTTCGTCATAGGGGTGATGGCCCCTTGGGTGTCCTTGAGAGAGAGAATGAAGATTACCCTGAAAGCATTGCAATGAAATCCATGGGGATGGCAAATCCATATGGCGACTCTGTGCCCGGGGCTCCTGGCAATGGCTATGGTAAGCATTTGTTAAGATGAAGATCATATCCTGGGAAGAAGGTAAAATCGGTGGACTTAGGGGAGCAGTTATTTAACAGTTCCAGGAAGAGAAGAATTGGTTTATCCCTCCCCCTTCAAACACCTACCTTACAAAGGCTGAACATTGGGGGTCTAGAAAAGACAAGCAGTATCATCACTTGTCAAAGCAGCCTGCTTAGGGAATATGAAAAATGAGAGTGTGCACACCATGTGCCAGCCCACTGGGGTTATGGGGAAATGTGGGCTCAGTATGACCAAATCCTCAGATTTTTCTAAAGAAGGAAGAACGCTGGGTTTTTATGTGAAACCTCCTGATTTTTATTTTTATTTTTATTTATTTTTTTTATTTGTTATTTTTTAAAGATTTTATTTATTTATTTGACAGAGAGAGACACAGCGAGAGAGGGAACACAAGCAGGGGGAGTGGGAGAGAGAGCAGCAGGCTTCCCCCAAGCAGGGAGCCCAGTGCGGGGCTCGATCTCAGGACCCTGGGATCATGACCTGAGCTGAAGGCAGACGCTTAATGACTGAGCCACCCAGGCTCCCCGAATTTCCTTGCTTTTTAAGACTGAATAATATTTCAGTGCATGGATATATCAAATTTTGTTTATCCCTTCATCCATTGATGGACACAGGTTGCTTCCACCTTTTCACTTTTGTGAATAATGCTGCTATGAAAATGGGTGTATATATATCCTTTTTGAGACCCTGCTTTCAATTCTTTTGGATGAATATGCAGCAGTGAAATTGCTGGATCAGATGGTAATTCTATTTTTAATTTTTCTAAGGTTTTATTTATTTATTTGACAGAGAGAACGTGTGTGAGCACAAGCAGGGGGAGTGGGAGAGGGAGAAGCAGGCTCTCGGCTGAGCAGGAAGCCTGATGTGGGGCTTAATCCCAGGACCCCGAGATCACAACCCAAGCTGAAGGCAGACACTCAACCAACTGAGACACCCAGGCGCCCCCAGAATTTCATTTATTTATTTATTTATTTGGAAAGAGAGCAGGGGGAAAGGCAGAGGGCTAGGGAGAGAGAGAATCTTAAGCAGACTGCATGCTGAGCACAGAGCCTGATGTGGGGCTCGATCCCATGATCCTGAGATCATGACCTGAGCCGAAAGCAAGAGTCAGACACTTAACTGACTGAGCCACCCAGGTGCCCCTATGTGTCTGTCTTTATACCAATTCTTGCCTCCTTTTATTCAGCTTGTTTACTGTTTCCTTTCTGCAAAGAAGGCTTCTTTTCACCTGGATCAGAGTTGTGTTGTTTTTATTTTCTATCTTTAATAGGGGAAAAAATGTGCCCCTTGTTTCCCTTTCTGCTTGAGCAATCTTCATTGATTGTTCCAAATATGTAAGTAATTAAATAAGTAAATTAAAAAATGAAAAAGTCCATCTGTGTGGGAGATGGTTAAATGTAGTAGTTAAGAAACTTATATTCTAATCCTTGTCTCCACTTACTAATTGTGAGAATTCAGAGAAGTTACCAAGTGTTTCTGAGCCTCAGTTTCTCATCTGTAAGATGTGATCATGGAGAGTCTCCATGCTGAATCAAGTGAAAATGAAGCGAGAGTGTGCATGTACATTGTTCTGCTCACTTCCTGGCTCAGAAGTACACATTTTCTTTTTTTTTTTTTTTTAAGATTTTATTTATTTATTTGACAGAGACAGAGACAGTGAGAGCAGGAACACAAGCAGGGGGAGTGGGAGAGGGAGAAGCAGGCTTCC